TTTGCTTGTCCCTATGTATATCCTTAACTGTGATAAAACGTGCACTGAACTGGTCAAAATATCTCGTGCCACTTAGTGCGCACTGAGTGCGCACTACGCGAGTGTCGTGCGATCAAATGAACACGTGACACTAGCCAAGTGCGCATTGGCACTGCCAATCGAACACGCTCTTGACACTGAGTGCAGCCAGTGCACCCCAATCGAAAACGCTATATGTCTTTGGCCATCTCTAAACACGATGTGAGCACGAGGCAGCGCGTGTCAGAACAGTCTAGCATCAGTAAAAACAATTGATGGTCGCGCAATCGCAGCGACCTCGCTTTTGACGGAAAGCGCCAAAATTTAATGACATGTACATTAAAGTTTACTTAATTTACAGTGAATTGAAATATTATTTATCTCTCGTATATTAAAAGTATATTAAATTTCAATACACATATATGTATTAATTTACTTAAATTTATTTTCATTAACATGAACATTAAATACCATTTCAGTTACGAGTGATTTAAATATCATTTACCATTATATATTTAGTTCATGAAATTTCATGACATTTTTAACAGTAGAGTCCCTGTAAGAGAGTAGCGTCTAAGAAGAAAGACTAAAAGTGCCGTCTCATTAAGCATGAATCGGAATGGGTGGTACCCAGTTGGACACGGCTCAATTGGACACGAGCCACTCACAGCGCTTGATACTATAAAGCTCCTAAGCACCGGTCGCTGTGATTGGTGGTGTCCAATCGAACCGTGATCAATCGGGATCACCCCGACCGGAATGATGGATCGAATTTCTAACTAGAACTGAGCATTCCGTCTCAATTCCGTTCCGTAATAGTTTTCTCTACTAGGCCTTCTACAATAAGCCGCAAGTTCTAAGGATTATTCCACACAAACTTGCAGAGCCGCATAATCATATGCATAAAGAAAATTATCTAATCACATTTCTGTCATAAAGACAAACGTAAACTACGATTGGATGATTTTCTTTATGCATATGTTTATGTGGCTATGCAAGGGATGATCCCGATTGACCACGTCTCGATTGGACACCACCAATCACAGTGACCGGTGCTTAGGAGCTTTGTAATCTCAAGCGCTGTGAGTGACTCGTGTCCAATTGAGCCGTGTCCAACTGGGTGCCACCCCTATGCAAGTTTATGTGGAATGGCCCTAAGGCGATCTTAAGTCATAATCGGTGAAGTTGGCCAATAGCCAACTCGAACGACTTAGTTAAGACTGGTTAAGACTTCTGACGTTTTGACTTGTGGCTTATTGTGGAAGGCCTATACCCGTCCCATTCAGTGAAAACGGAACGGAATGTCGCGTCGATCGTAAATAAATGTGTTTTATTCATCGTTATTTCGTTTCGGTAGTTGAAGCAATAATATACACATAATTTGTGCAATTAAAGCTGGAAATACAATAGACACAGGCAATAGGCACAGGCAATAGGGAATAACGAGCCGTCCAATCAGAGCTCTGGGATATAATATCGAACTTATACCCCAAAGCTCTGATTGGACAGCTCGTTATTCCCTGTTGCCTGTGCCTATTGCCTGTGTCTATTGTGTTTCCAGCTTAACTTGCTAAAAATGTTGTGAGTTCTCTAAAATACTGAATTGTGAAGCGGGGTCTACAATAGAAGTCGTAGCAGTCGTAGAATCTTAAGTCGTAGAAAATTAACCAATCACAGTAGAATATGGAAAGAATAATCGACTATGATTGGTCAATTTTCTACGACTTAAGATCCTACGATTGCTACGACTTCTATTGTAGACCCCGCATAATGGTGAAATATATTTTCTAACCAGATTCCGTTCCGTTTTTACTAAATGGGACGGGTAGAGAAAACTATTACGGAACGGAACTGGAATGAAATGCTCAATTCTAGTCAGAAATCCGATTCGTCATTCCGATCCGTGTTTAATGGGCACCATAAAGATAAAAGACTCCACTCAGTCTAGCCAGCCCTCAAAACATGGACCGATTTTGCGTTTCGAGTTAAGTTTTGATTCTCGACACACGCGGCGCTTGTGCACTTTGTAGTCCTGCGCACAAAGGCATAGAGAATGGACTGCGCGATCCTTGCGTCAAAATGGTCGATAGGGATAAGAGAGAGGGACCGTGGCAGACGGCCAATTCTATCTCTTTTCATTCAATGGTGTAAAGAAAGAGAGAGAGAGAGAGAGAGAGAGAGAGAGAGAGAGAGAGAGAGAGAGATATTGGCCGTCTCCCACGGTCCCTCTCATTATTGTCGACCACATTTGATACATTATTTAGATACGGATTGCGCAGTCCATTCTCTGTCTTTTCTTGCGCATAATGAGTACGCCGTAAGAAAAAATGTCACGAAAGTAACTTAATCCCGTAGAGGCGATTTTGTCTGCGATTAATTTTTGTCAGGAAGGAATAGGACTACCGCGTGTGTCGAGAATCGAAACTTAACTCGAAACGCAAAATCGGTCGATGTTCTGAGGGCTGGCTAGACTGAGGCCGCCGTTTCATGGAGCGGAAATTTACAGCGAACCGGAACAGCGCGACCAATCACAATCGCAGAAAAAAAGCAGAGTAATAATTGCAGAGTTGTGACTGGTCGCTCTGCTCCGTTCTACTATAAACTTCCGCTCCATCAGATGGCTGAGTGGAGTCTCCTTATGGTACGTTTCCACTGAGCGCGTCACGCGTCGCGTCATGAAAGAGAGAAAGAGATAAGATTATATATACAACCCCTCTCTTTCTCTCCTTCGACGACGCGACGCGTGACGCGCTCAGTGGAAACTCAGCCTTATGCCCATTTCCACCAATATAGATTAACTTTAATCTCGGTTCAACTTACTCTTCGTCTTTTTCTAATCTTTAGAACTAGAAAAAGACAAAGAGTAAGTTGAACCGAGATTAAAGTTGATCTGCGTTGGTGGAAACAGACCTTAATCTTTCTTCCTGACTACCAGCCAGAATTCTAATTGGCTGCTTCTTTTCCGTTTTCCGCTTTTCCGTCAAAATGTGAACGCACCCTTACGATTCTCTGCTGAGATAGGACCATTCCTCTTGATCTAAAAGCATAACGGATCCAATCAGCACAAAAAATACTTCCAAGAGTTGCAAAATAAACGTTCTGCTAAACGCAGCCAATGGCTGCGTTCAGCAGACTCAACAGTTGAGTGTGCGCTCGCTGCTATTGATGTATTCTTCTAGATCTAAAATTTGGTTAGACGATCTAAAATACACCAATAACAGCGAGCGTTCATTCAACTGTTGAGTTTGCTGAATGTAGCTAGAGGCCTATATAACAGAGATGCAACATTGAAGGGTATGGTCTGATTGGCTGTCTAACTCACGTGATCAGAATGCCATTTTAATTCATTACTGCGTATAATTAGAGTCCTAGGACTCTACGTATAGAGTCTAATGCTGGATTCACACTGCATCCGATTTTCGTCGTACGACGCTCTTCGACCAATCAGAAAACAGGATTCCTATGGATTTTGCTTCGTATCATCGGAATTCTGTTTTCTGATTGGTTGAAGAGCGTTGTACGACGAAAATCGTATACAGTGTGAATCCAGCATAATAGCGTTTTCGGCCCGATCGGGTTTGCACCAACCTGGGTTAATCTTTCCTATTGGTCGACGTCACCCGCTCTACCAATAGGAGAGCACAAAACGCCATTAATCCAACCTAGGTTGGTGCAAACCTGGCCAGGCCGAAAACGTTATAATAATGTATGTACGTATAATGTATTTACTATTAAGTACATACTACATAAGTACATACATACTATGCTTTCTTCTTTTTCTAACAATTTAACTTTCTTCATGTAATGCATCAGCTGTTATTAGCTTATAAAGATGCCTTTTCATTCCGACGCTCGACGCTCATTTTCGTCGTCAAAATAAGTAACGTGATAGAAATTGGCGAATATCAAACGTCAATTTTGATCTTGTGATTTATTTTGACACAGTAAACAGTTGAAAATGAGCGTCGAGCGTCAGCATGAAAAAACACCTTATGGTTATAAATACCTATCTTAGAACATATATAAATGGAAGGGGCATAGGCTTAGAACATATATAAATGGAAGAGGCATAGGGCGCTGAACGTGAAGCCATATCTGTGCGAGAGAGAAAGGTAGTAAGGGATAAACGTTTGCAATGCGCATGCGCAGCACCGTCATCTGTGTGAATTGTGCAGTTGGTTTAGTGTTTTTACATATTCGTACATACATTACACTGTGGGTAAAATGTGATGCTGCGCATGCGCATTGGGAACATTTATTCCACAGATGTTTGCATCAGCGCGAGTCATGGGAAGTATAAGCAATGCCTCTTCCACTTATATATGTTCTAAGGTACCCATCGAAAAGTCTCGTTTGCTTGCTCGAGTAGGACGGACGCTCGTCTGCCCTGCTTCGGGTATTGCATCATTTCATTAATTTTTGAAAAACGATTCCGGTTTTAACTGTGATTAGTAAGCATGGCCATGTTCACCCCGTTGTCGAGGGCCTGGGCCAATTAAATTAATAAGAAGAAGAAGAAGAAGGTACCCATCGACATCTAGAATGGCAATGGTGGGGGAAGAAAGACGATTAGAGTGAGAGGCAGGAATAATAAGATCGTTCTTTCTCTGTTTACTGTTGTTTCTAACTAGCCTGATTGGTTGTTGGATTAACAACAACTAATCAGGCTTCAGTAAACAGAGAAAGAACGATCTTATTATTACTGCCTCTCACTCTAATCGTCTTTCTACCCCCACCATTGCCATCAGCGGTCCATTCTAGATGTCGATGAAGGTACCTATACTGAATTAAAATGGCGCTGACGACCTAACCCAACCGACGCAATGTCGCATCTTTGGTATCTAGGGCTCTACACAGTCCTATTCCGCACCGTGTGATTTCACCCTAAGATCCAGCACCATTGGGCGCGCACGGAGAGTGAGACGTCGTAGCTGTATGAGGGCGCGATCAGTATTGGTATTTTCTTACTGTGTGATTTCAAAATGTCAGACATAGATAAATGGATAGATATCGCGAAAGAATGCAAATACTTACCCGAGAATGATCTCAAGGTAAATTGTACTTACGATGTGTGCCGGTCGTGCCGTTTTCTGCGCGGTAACGGTCGCGCGAACATAAGTGCTGATTAAATTACTCACCTACGCAGCTTACGCGTTTTGCCCCTCCTGAGTTACTTATCGCGTTAACTTTTATCGTTGTCGACAGAAACTCTGTGACGTGGTATGTGATTTATTACTGGAGGAGTCAAACATCCAGCCTGTATCTACTCCGGTGACAGTATGCGGCGATATACACGGTCAGGTAAATTCCGGATCTACACCCTAACCTCAAAATCGGAGCATCATCGTTTGTCGCTACGGAATCGACAAAATTTTAGGATTTTAATCTTCCGAATTAGCGTCGCAACAGATCCATCATATTCATCCATTTATTGTTAAAAGGAACATGGTAGTGTCGCTGGGTTTGCCTGGTACTGAGACACTACTGTGTCTCCAGATCTATTTGTCTTTTATGATCTATTTTATAATGACTCTTGATCTTTATATTTTATAACTGTACTAATAGTTATTTATATAGTTATGATGTAAATATACTTCAGATTATTTATCTTCTTGTGCTATTGCAGTTCTATGATTTAGAGGAACTGTTTCGCAATGGTGGCCCCGTACCAGATACAAATTACATATTCCTGGGAGATTTTGTCGATCGGGGTTACTACAGCTTAGAAACATTTACTCGTCTGCTCACACTTAAAGCTAAATGGTCTGACAGAATAACGTTACTACGTGGTAATCATGAATCTAGACAAATCACACATGTTTATGGATTTTATGGTAAGCATATAATGTTATTTTCTTTTCTGATGACTTGTTTGTATTTGTATATAACAAAACTTTGATTTCACACATTTTCTTTGTTTATTCTAGATGAATGTCAAAACAAGTACGGCAATGCTAATGCTTGGAAGTACTGTTGTAGGGTATTTGACTTGCTCACAGTTGCTGCCGTGAGTATTTGTATAAAAGATCTTTTAAAAATTACAATTTTTTATATTTTATTATACTTGAACAAAATTCTGTTTCAGTTAATTGATGAACAGGTTCTTTGTGTACATGGTGGATTGTCTCCGGCTATTAGAACACTAGATCAAATTAGAACAATCGAAAGGAATCAAGAGATTCCACACAAAGGTATGTATTAAATGTTTAACATAATATTCCGATGTAAAATAAAAATTATGTTATTTCGATATATTGTATTATTGTCAGATAATAACATTAACGTATAATATATTATAATAATTAAACATCTTTGTTTAATTACAGGTGCTTTCTGTGATTTGGTTTGGTCTGATCCAGAGGATGTAGAAACATGGACAGTAAGTCCACGTGGCGCAGGTTGGTTATTTGGCAGTAAAGTGACTTATATGTTCATGGAAGTGAATGATCTTAAACTCATCTGTAGGGCACATCAACTAGTTCAGGAAGGTATATCTTTGCTTAATACAAATATTTCAATTAATATTTTATAATCTGAAGTAATTTTTTGAAAATATATATTGATGGTATACATTCTTTTATCTTACAGGTTACAGGTACATGTTTAATGACAAACTTGTCACAGTGTGGTCAGCCCCAAATTATTGTTATCGATGTGGTAACATAGCTAGTATCATGCAATTCACAACAGTAGATCAAAGAACACCCGTGCTGTTCCAGGCAGTGCCTGATTCCGAGAGAGTAATTCCACCTCTAACGCCCACTCCGTACTTTTTGTGATCTATCTTAGCGGCTCATTTGTACGGATGCAGAAGAGAAATATCTGTGTCTAGACTCTACGGAATTACATGATTTGATCGACCAGATCCAGGCTGGTACCATGACGGAACCATACATTAGTGAAAATATATCACAAACCGATTATACTCTAGAAAATTTTAATTCCTTTGAAAGAAATTGTTTGATGCGTTCTACGATCAAAGTACGATACTTAGAGGACTGAATTGTGGTGTGATTACTCTTATTCAGGGAATGTTCTTTAGATTTTTTAAGAACTTTATCAGGTTTTACATATTGTAAAGCTAACTTTTATATATTAATACATAGTATCTGCCATTGCATCAGCCTGTTTTTTGTGGCTCGAGAAAAAAAGAAAATGATATTTTGCATTAGAGCAAATGTGAACATTCTGTGGTCTAGACGCTTTTGCTGTCTACTATGTACATTCTGTAGAGCATTCATATCTCAGAGCAGCATTCTGGACTTAAATGTTCAAAAGACTTTTAAATAATTTATGAGCGCAAATAATGCGAATAGTCCAGTGCTGTATATAAATAAAAAGAAAAAAAAAGAAATATCACGTTCAAACATTCCGGTAAGAAATACACTCTCTGAGTACAGTGAATGCTTATCTGACTTTACAATCGTGCGTAGAATTCAGGTTTATTAAAGCGTGAGCATATATATAGTACTGTTAAGGTCTTCCTAAACATATAAGTGATCTGTTGCTGATTTAGGTACTGTGTGTGCTGCGTGCTGTTTTTTTTTTTCTAAATGCGCAATCAATGTTCTTAGCAAGAATCGTAAATTCGGCCCTTTTTCGCCGAAGTACAAATAGCGTGTAGCAGTAGCCAAAGCTTTCCTGTTTAGATAGGAAATCCGATAGCGGAATCGTTATAGCATCTATATATATAGAGAGTTCTCTTATTATTTTTAGCACATGACATTTTTTATGCTTAATTTTAAGAAATATTGAGCTCAAATACTATCGCTAAACTATCTTGACACATATTGATATTTTTTTCTAAAAAAAAAACCATTCGTTTGTCACTTTTCTTTTTTATATACATATATGTACAAAGCAATATTTTCAAAAACTATTGCATCCTTTGAATTTTTGTACAATTTCCAATATCGTATGCCAAATCGCTAATTGTTATAAGTTCATTAATGTAGGGAGCAACTTAAAAAGAGAAAAAACCGAGACCCTTAGCAATGTGCCTCTAAATTAATAAGCGTTTGTGTAATATAATGATACGATATTGATATGACATAATTGTAATAATAAATGGAAATGCACACACCAGCCATTGCGTATCATAAGCCTGAATTCTGACCATCGATTTTTGCTAGCTCACGATAATTCCTAACCGATCACAGACCTAACAAATACATTGGCATTGGCATTGTGGCATAGATTGTCAAGTTGAGACTACTCTATTTTGAATTTTGTGATATAGACCGAAGGTGCAATGTCATGTCGATGTTTATAACGACTCTCCTTGTCGCATCATTCGAAGAAGTTTTGTGAGAACCCGTTATAATCCAAGAAATACAAGAAACTTTTGAACAGTGCCTTCAGGACTATATAACACGACGGTCTACTAGAAATATAATTGCTTTCTTATTGACAGATAATCATAGACGAACTAACATAAGGACGACGAATCATACAAACACCAGAGCTTAAGACCCGAGAATGCGTATGAGGAAATTTTTATCACCCTTTTTTTATTCCATAAATCTTCCGCTACTATTTGAAAACAAAATTTTTATTTTTCGTCAAACTTTTCTACGATGTTTACGTTTCACGATTTTACTACTTTTTAGATCTACTCTTACATTTTTACATCACATGCGCGAGATATTCTCTATTTGTACTACAATTATTATAACGTAACAATTGTACGATACTTTACACGAGTAACGTATTACATTAGGTAAATGAGCGCATCTAGAACGAATCGGGACACGGAGCTTGCGTTACAAACTCGACTCACTACATTTGCAGCCTCCGAGTCGTGAAACAGGTGTCGTAACGACGGGAACGCCCTGCATATGATACAGGTAACATAGAAGTCCTTTAAAATAAAGTATTAGCTTCTGTATCTACTATCGGGATGTTCGCGGCGTTTCGTCTACCGGAATGCCTCTGTCTGTGATCGCTTTAATCTTATCGAAGTGTCCAAGCGCTTGCGACGACTCGATAAATAATCGGTAAATTCGCGAGAGAGAACAAATATAAAGACAACTTGCAAAATAAAATAAAATGAAGACTAATTTAGCTTAATATGCTCCGTGCAGGAGCTTGAACACTGCGCATAATTCTTAAAGATCTCACAGGTAGACACCATTTTAAAACGATCATCGTGTACCTTGAAAGTATAAACTTTGTTATGTTAATGTAATGAAGAACGTCTGTAATAAAAATACGCAAAAAATCGTACCTGCTAGCATTATCTATTATCCGTATAACAAACCAAACTAATCAAGACTCCTTATAAATCAAAGAATTGAAAATAATACGGGCGTTAGGAGTCAGGCGCAGAAGACGTCGCGCAAATAATACACCTATGAAGCTTGAAACTTCTTTATTCAACAAACACGCAATTTGCGCGACGTCTTCTGCGCCTAACGCCCGTATTCTTTCCAATTCTTTGATTATCTATTATACTCCCGATATATTGTGATAGCGAGACCAAAGTATGATAAGCATGAGATAAGGAAGGAATTGTACAGAATTATATATATATATATATTTATATATAATAATATAGTGTATTTCTGTTCAATATGTATAATATATTATCTACATTTATAATCCCTATGAAAGGCATTTCCAAACAGACTTCAGTTTTACTTCTTTTTTTTCTTTAAATATCTTATTTATTCATAAAAATACAGGGGCGTTCACGCGCCACGCGTGAAATTCGGCCTGCTTTGTCTGAAACCAAAAACTCTCGATCAAATCGATAGAATTATGGCTAATGATGTATTTGTTTATTCTACCGAAGTTATGAATTCTTTTTTTTAGTTACATACGCGCATCTAACTATTTGTGATAATTTTCAACCTTATGAATTGCGATTATATACCATGATTGTAATTTTTATTATATTCTAAATCATATTACGTTAACTTTGAAATCGTAATCTCGCAATAAAACTTGAATATTAACAAATGCACTAACTTTCGTTGTATATGTGCGACATTTTTTTCATGCAACAAAAAAGCCGACAAAGATGTTGAATAAAAACATTAAAGTTAAATGTTATTACAATTAACTGATCTAATTCATTGAGTAACATGATTTTATCAATGTATCGAAATCAGCGACCTTCATCAGTCTTTTAATTACTTGTATTATATATTTACGATTAAATCTGTATATAATACATTGCGAGGTGCTTGTTTTAAAAAGACAGACTTGTATGACGTTTTGTTTACGAAAAACGGAGGCAGAACACTACATTTACACGGATACCTTTAATTGTATTTAATAACATCCGTAGTTATGAAACTGGCCAATCATAGCTATTCCTCCGATGAATGGAAAGACTGTGATTGGCCAGTTTTTAACTACGGATGTTATTAAATCCGATTAAGGTTCACTTGACGCTACAAATGCTTCGAAACTTTTGATTGACCAATCGGAAAAAAGAATTTTACTGATTGACCAATCAAAAAATGTTTCGAAGCATTCGTAGCATCAAGTGACCATAGCCTGAGTATCCGCGTAAACATAGTTACCATAATGGCTCTTGTATACAGAACGCGGCAATGCTTGCCGCGCGATGGAAATTGGCGCGAGAGCCAATCAGTTTATCGCTTTTCCATAAAAGTGAAAGAATGATTGACTAGTGCGCTAATGGCTCTTGCATATTGGACGCGGAAACACTTGCCGCGTGGCAAAATGCGACGCGGTAATCAATGAATATGTTAGGAGCTGTAAACTTACTGGCTACCCCTGATGAAAACTTTTTTCATAATTTTCATACGAATTGGAACATTTTTCAGAAATATTTAGAAATATTTAGAAAGTTTACATCTTCTCTCAGAATTTTTCATACAAGTGAATTCCGAAATATTCTGAAATTTCTCGTCCCATAATTAAAAAAAAATATTTTTAGTCTCTCTTACATCGAGAACAACTCAATTCCGAGCGACATGTCAATATATACTGACAGTTGAACATGTCGATATTATTCAAATTTATATATAATTGTGAGTTCTTATGATTATTACATGGCTTCGCGACACGCTTCATGTCCTATGGTGATTAACAACGCTGCATCCTTGCCAATTTGCGAGTGACTTAATCATCGAGGACATGTAAGTCAATTAGATTGTATCTTTATTGCTGAGGATGACTCCAAAGAGAGTCGAAACGTCCAAATACAGAAGACTTTAAGCTAACATCTGAGTATGGTTTTCACCTATCTTTGCGCCGTTCAACGTTGCTTGACTCTCACTAGCCTAATTTAGTCATAATTTTAAAATATTTTTAAACTTTTTAGATTTTAAAACATTTCATCAGAAATTATACTTACAAAAGAATCTTAGAAATCTTACGATATTTCATAATTAACATATATAAATTCTGAGAAAAGATGTAGATTTTCTGAGAAATGTTCCAATTCGTATAAAAAATGTGAGAAAGTTATAAAATTATATAGAAATTCTGAAAAATTATATGAAAAATTCTGAGAAAAATTTTCACCAGGAATCGCATCACATTTTGTCGCGTGGCAAGTGTTTCCGCGTCTAGTGTACAGAAGCCATAACTTACGCTGCGCAGTAAACGTTACCGTTCTGTCATAATGGTCTTTCTACAATAATTAAGTTATTACCCAAGCTTTAAGTCTTAAGCTATAAGAAATTGACTAATCATAATCGATTATTCTCTTCGTATTCGAAAATAATTGGTTAATGTTTCACGGTTTAAGACTTAAATCTTATGGGCCTTCTACAATACGCTATTATAGGCTTTCTACAATAAATCATTACCTAAGCTTAATTTAAGTCTTAAGCTATATGAAATTAACCAATCATAATCGATTTTTCTTCTCACATTCGACTGTGATTAATTAAGGGGTATAGCCACCCTAGAATTTTCAAAAAAATCGAAAAATTTTTTTGCTTTTTCGATACTTTATTATCACAAAAATAAGTAACAATTGAATTTATAACGAAAAAAATGAGCGCAAGCTGAGCGCTTGCTGAGCGTAGGGGTGAAGTACGTAGGGGTTTTTCGATATATAAAAAACTTATTATTTTATGAACAGTTTTTGAACAAAATTTTTAGCAAAAAATGCAAGTGTGACTTCAAATGTCCGTCATTTTTGAAAATATCAATATTTTTACAAACCCCTACGTACTTCTTTAGGTATTTCAATGTACATTAAAAAAAAATTTTTTTTTGCTCTAGGTCAAAATTTGTGAATGCTAAATGTCATGCCCCGGAGCACCTCCATAAAAACGTGCTAGATTTTGTCATCGGTAGCGCCGCCATTTTGGATGCAAAAAATACAAAAAAAAATTTTTAGTGGACTTCAATGTGTTGTGTGTGTGTTGTGTTGTGTGTGTATGCAATAACCAGTGCTTTAATTAGATTTTATATTAAATTATTTTTTAAACTAAAAAAAATTTTTAAACTTATTGCTGTTTTTATGCTCGCTAGGGTGGCCATACCCCTTAATGTCTTATGATTTAAGACTTAAAACTTAAGGCGTCGTCTACAATATACGGAGTAAGAAGTAAGAGTAAGGAATTGACCAATCACAGTCGATTATTCTTCTCACATTCGACTGTGATTGGTCAATTTCTTACTCTTACTTCTTACTCCGTGTATTGTAGACGGGCCTTAATAAATAGCTCATTGTAGAAAGCCTATTAGTCATAAAGTAGAAATTAGAAGTTGAAAATTGATCAATCACAGTCGTCAATTTTTAGTTTCTGACTTCTGATTTATGACTAATGGCTTATTGTAGAAGGTTCATTAGA